TATCAAAAATGAATCTAAGTTATATAAACCACTGATAATGTTGAAGTTACATTCTTTTGTAATCTGTATTAAAACAGATTCAATTATGTTCCTGTTATAGGTGAGCTTACAATTTGTTCCTGAAGAAGCCATCTCCCAATCAATTTGGTGAGCATTTACTGACAAATGAACACACAAAGCATTAAACAATTGGCCATGTCTTACTAAGTTTTTATGTCGGGAAATTCTAAATTTCAAAATTTTGGATGTTTGTCCAACATAGAACCTATTACAGTCTTTACAAGCTATTTTATAAAGGACACAATTATCACTACGAGGGCTGTTTCTAACTAATAGTTTTCCAACAGTATTTTCGTAGCAGAACAATACATGTATACGAAAAAGTTTCATTGCCTTGACCATATTTTCAAACCCAGGGAAATAATTTTTTCACTACATAAATGATTATAATATGTACGACGTGCTTTGCTACGGCAAACTTCCAAAAAACTCAGTGGATAACAAAGCTTGAGACCAATAGAATCAATATTCTTAAACTCTTCAGCTTAGAATTCTGGACTCACAACCCGAGGAGCTCTTAGATACATTGAAGCAAAAATTAACTCATATTTATTGAAATAGATAGCCTTATAATTTCATAAGAACTAATATTGAAAAATATATAAATTAAGGGAAACTTAGCTTTTTAGGCAAATCGGGCCTTGCATAGCAGGCTGAGTACGACGTTCTGGCTACTAGGTACAACATACATATATATATATATATATATATATATATATATATATATATATATATATATATATATATATATATATATATATATATATATATATATATATATATATATATATATATATATATATAATATATATATTATATATATATATGTCGTACCTAATAGCCAGAACGCACTTCTCAGCCTACTATTCAAGGCCCGATTTGCCTAATAAGCCAAGTTTCATGAATTAATGTTTTTTCGTCTACCTAACCTACCTAACCTAACCTAACCTAGCTTTTTTTGGCTACCTAACCTAACCTTACCTATAAATATAGGCTAGGTTAGGTTAGGTAGGGTTGGTTAGGTTAGGTCATATATCTACGTTAATTTTAACTCCAATAAAAAAAATTGACCTCGTACATAGAGAAAAGGGTTGCTTTATCATTTCATAAGAAAAAAATTATAGTAAATATATTAATTCAGGAAAACTTGGCTTATTAGGCAAATCGGGCCTTGAATAGTAGGCTGAGAAGTGAGTTCTGGCTACTAGGTACGACATATATATATATATATATATATATATATATATATATATATATATATATATATATATATATATATATATATATATATATATATATATATATATATATATATATATATATATATATATATATATATATATATATATATATATATATATATATATATATATATATATATATATATATATGTATGTTGTACCTAGTAGCCAGAACGTCGTACTCGGCCTGCTATGCAAGGCCCGATTTGCCTAACAAGCTAAGTTTTCCTTAATTTATATATTTTTCAATATTAGTTCTTATGAAATTATAAGGCTATCTATTTCAATAAATATGAGTTAATTGTTGCTTATATATATATTTTATATATATATTAAATATATATATATTTTATATATATATATATATATATATATATATATATATATATATATATATATATATATATATATATATATATATATATATATATATATATATATATATATATATATATATATATATATATATATATATATATGTTGTACCTAGTAGCCAGAACGCAATGTTTGGCCTACTATGCAAGGCCCGATATGCCTAATAATCCAAGTTTTCCAGAATTTCAATATTTTCCCTATTTTTTTTCTTATGAAATGATGAAGCTATTAATTTCGTTATATATGAGCTAATTTTTTTTAAATTTGAGTTCAAACTAACGTAGTTATATGACCGAACCTAACCAACCCTACCTAACCTAACCTAACCTCTCTTAACCTAACCTAAACTAACATAACTAAATAAATAATTTATGTTCTTAATATAATATAATTGTAGTATTTAAAATATACCAATAGGAAACAATTTATTGAAAATAAAGAAAATCACTCGGCCTATTAGGCAAATCGGGCCTTGCATAGTAGGCCGAGAAGTGAGTTGTAGCTACTAGATACGACATATATATATATATTTCACAAAGAAATCACAGAAGTGTAACATATGAATGAGTTAGTTTAGTTCATTTATTATGCACCCCATACCCATCTTGTGGGCGGTAGTGGAAAGGGTTACACACACACACACACACACACACACACACACACACACACACACACACACACACACGAAGCAAAGAGCCAGAGCACAATTTTCGCAAGCACAAATAGATGAGGTGAGTACACACACACACACACGCACGCTATTATGTAACACACTGGCTTAATAGAATTCTACGACTAGGTGACAAAGATTAAGCAAGAAAGAGAAGGCTGGGCAGACTGCATTTTTTTGGACTGTCGGAAATCCTTTGATACAGTCCCCCCATAAGAGGCTGGTACATAAGCTGGAGAGACAGGCAGTAGTAACTGGTAAGGTGCTCCAGTGGATAAGGAAATACCTAAGCAATAGGAAGCAAAGAGTTACAGTGAGGGGTGCGACCTCAGATTGGCGTGAAGTCACCAGTGGAGTCCCACAGGGCTCTGTACTCGGTCCTATTATGTTTTTGATATACGTAAATGATCTCCCAGAGGGTATAGACTCATTTCTCTCAATGTTTGCTGACGATGCCAAAATTATGAGAAGGATTAAGACAGAGGAGGACTGCTTGAGGCTTCAAGAAGACCTAGACAAACTAAAGGAATGGTCGAACAAATGGTTGTTAGAGTTTATCCCAAGCAAATGTAAAGTAGTGAAGATAAGTGTAGGGAGCAGGAGGCCAGTTACAAGGTATCATTTGGGAGATGAAATTCTACACGAGTCAGAGAGAGAGAAAGACCTGGGGGTTGATATCACGCCAGACCTGTCCCCTGAAGCCCATATCAAGAGGATAACATCAGCAGCATATTCCAGGTTGGCTAAGATAAGAACGACATTTAGAGACTTGTGCAAGGAATCATTCAGAACTTTTTATACCACCTATTTCAGACCAATCCTGGAGTACACAGCCCCAGCATGGAGTCCATATCTAGTCAAGCATAAGATCAAACTGGAAAAAGTTCAAAGGTTTGCCACCAGACTAGTACGCAAACTGAGAGGTATGAGCTACGAGGAGAGACAACGGGAATTAAACCTCACGTCGCAAGAAGACAGAAGAGTTAGAGGGGATATGATTAGCATGTACAAGATTCTCAGAGGAATTGACCGGTTAGATAAAGACGGGCTATTTAACACAAGAAGCACACGCACTAGGGGACACAGGTGCAAACTGAATGCCCAAATGAGCCACAGAGATATTAGAAAGATTTTTTTTTAGTGTCAGAGTAGTTGACAAATGGAATGCATTAGACACTGATGTGGTGGAGGCTGACTCCATACACAGTTTCATGTGTAGATATGATAGAGCCCAATAGGCTCAGGAACCTGTACACCAGTTGATTGACAGTTGAGAGGCGGGACCAAAGAGCCAGAGATCAACCCCCGCAAGCACAAGTAGGTGAGTACATCTAAAGGATGCAGCCCGCAGCAGCTGTTTAATTCCCAAGTACCTCTTCTCTTTTAGGTTAACTGTGATTTCCAGTGAAAGAAACGTTTTCAATTTGTTTTTGCCTCGCCAGGGAATTGAACCTTCGCTCTTAGTACAATGAATGAGCGATGTCAGCTCCGTCCTGTGTCTGCGGACTCACCAATCTGTGCTTGGGAGTGTTGAGTTTCAACTATTTTTTCCCGCCTCAACACTTAATTCACTAATGTTGGTAACGGAGCACTGTCATATCAACTTTGGAATCTCTCTTGTGTGTGTACTAAAAATGATAGTTTAAATAGACTACAATATTACTGTAATAAAAATGTTAAGTACGGGAAATTTCTTCAAGTCATATTAATTTGATTAAGGGATAAGGAAGTTCATCTTATAAACTGATATATATATTTAGTATTTTTCAATTTAGATATTAACTGCAGTCATAAGAACCATGGCTGATTAGATGGCCGGAAATTAGCCGTAATATCCACGTCCACCAAATCCCCCACGTCCTCCTCCGAAGCCACCACGGAAACCTCTGCCACCGAAGCCACCACCGAAGCCTCTATTACCTAGGTAACCGGGATCGGCCTCAGGGTCTGCAACGGGCTCAGGGTCAGCTTCGGCACTCCTCCTTCCACGATATCCTCCATATCGTCCCCCGAAGCCACCTCTATGGAAGCCCCCACCGATGCCTCCTCCAAATCCTCCTGTGAAACCTCTCCTGAAGTGACCGGGTTCGGCATCTGGGGAAGGCTCAGCGTTTGTGGCCACCAAGCACATGGCAGCCAGGAATGCTACAACGATCTGGTGGATGAACACAAGGATGAAATTCTCTGGAGTTTTCATATGATAATATAACAGAAGATTTATCATACATAGGAATATTTACTTATGTTTGTTTTTTAGATTTTGTTTTGGACTTTATAAAGTATATAGTACAAAATTCTATTATCAAATAGCAGATTACGTCAATCTTTGTACTATGGTGCACCTAGTTGCAAAAACTTCTTTCTAAACAGGAGGATGGGTTGAAATATCAAGATGTGTGGGTTCACGCATTGACAAAAAGGTTGTGGTATAGTACTGCGAAATGTTTGAATTAGGAAAACAACATTTTAAGCAATCTTGTGGATATAATTCTTGAAATCTAAGATATCATTCAACTTAATCTGCAAACAGGAAACAAGGTAATTTTTCAGAACTTGAGGTTTTGAACTCTATTCCATTTGAACATATATCTCAAGCAGCAGGGAACTATAACAGATAGTTAATTCACTTGTATAGGCAAATATTTAGAAAGTTTAAAAAAAAATGTATATGAAGAATAATTTTTAGTACATAATGTATGAAAATACTCTAAGGAGAAAGTGTTCGAAATTATTTATAAAATATACAACTTTTATAAATAATGTTTCCTTCTATGAATTAGCAAAGAAACGAAGAATATACTCTCAACTTGCGTACTATCAGTTAAATAAAGTACGAGTTTCAGTTTAAATGTTGAGTCAAATGTAACTCACCAGGGTCTTCATATCTATGGTGTGTCTTGGAGGACTGTGTGGAGTTGGAGGCAGCGCGGCCTTATATACCTCTCGCGAGACAGAGATTAGACGACTTCTCAAGGACATGAATGACTTGTTGCTCTCTTCTTGCGTAAGTTTCCTGGTGTTTATGTTATATTAAAACATAGGACAAATACTGCATCGATATTAATCTGTTTTCCAATTCACATAAAAAAGTACGGAAGAATAAAGTTATGTTATATATTAAACCGTGTAACCAACTAGTATATATGTAAGTCACGAATCTGTTAATCAGTCATAAGCTTATTGATCAATCACAAGTGTGATGTTAACTCATAATTGTATTGGTCAATCAAAAGTTTGTGATCAATCGTTGTTATGTCAGTCAATAATAGGTGTGTCATCAATCGCAGGCGTGTTTGATCGATTACACTTGTCCCATTAACCACAAGAGTGTCAATCACCCAATGAAACAATTGAAACTAATTCAGGGATTGTACAGTTTCATATTCACCCCATTTACTATACCGACAAGATGGAGTATGTCGCCATCCCAAACATTAATCTAATTGTCAATATATTTGTTTAGATATAATTATCCTGATATTTTACCTATTGACTGTTGAATTTACGTCTCATTTGTATTTAATTCCGTCGTTTTATACATGGCTACGATCTACTTATTTATGTCACTGATGTTTACAGTTATATTTTGAATCATTATGTCAGCATTAGAAATATTTATTAAACACACATTTACTGTATTCAAAAATATTTAAGCCTACCACTGATTTTTTTTCTTTGGCTGGTAAGTCAGTATTTTAAATGTGAAATAATTATACAGCTTACATATTCTTTAGAATCAGTCAGACGTGAGTGTAAAAATTGATCATACCATTAAACATTATATACTTGTATGAGTATGAATTCTCTCCTGCATTGTCGTTCTTATATACTAAGATATATATATATATATATATATATATATATATATATATATATATATATATATATATATATATATATATATATATATATATATATATATATATATATATATATATATATATATATATATATATATATATATATATATATATATATATATATATATATATATCGTACCTAGTAGCCAGAACGCACTTCTCAGCCAACTATGCAAGGCCCTATTTGCGTAATAAGCCAAGTTTCCATGAATTAATTGTTTTTCGACTACCTAACCTACCTAACCTAACCTAACCTAACTTTTTCGGCTACCTAACCTAACCTAACCTATAAAGATAGGTTAGGTGGGGTTGGATAGGGTCGGTCATATATCTACGTTAATTTTAAGTCTAATAAAAAAAATGACCTCATACATAATGAAATAGGTAGCTTTATCATTTCATAAGAAAAAAATTTGAGAAAATATATTAATTCATGAAAACTTGGCTTATTAGGCAAATCGGGCAATGCATAGTAGGCTGAGAAGTGCGTTCTGGCTACTAGGTACGACATATATATATATATATATATATATATATATATATATATATATATATATATATATATATATATATATATATATATATATATGTATATATATGTCGTACCTAGTAGCCAGAACGCACTTCTCGGCCTACTATGCGAGGCCCGATTTGCCTAATAAGCCAAGTTTTACTATATTAATATATTTTCTCTAATTTTTTTCTTATGAATGATAAAGCTACCCATTTCATTATGTATGAGGTCAATTATATTTTATTGGAGTTAAAATTAACGTAGATATATGACCGAACCTAACCAACCCTACCTAACCTAACCTAACCTAACCTAACTTTTTCTTTATAGGTTAGGTTAGGTTAGGTAGCCGAAAACGTTAGGTTGAGGTCATACATTGAGGTAGGTTAGGTAAGTCGAAAAAACATTTATTCATGAAAACTAGGCTTATTAGGCAAATCGGGCCTTGCATAGTAGGCTGAGAAGTGAGTTCTGGCTACTAGGTACGACATATATATATATATATATATATATATATATATATATATATATATATATATATATATATATATATATATATATATATATATATATATATATATATATATATATATATATATATATATATATATATATATATATATATATATATATATACATATATCACCTCATCATGAAAGATGTGACAATGTCAGACCACGGAGGAAGAATTGAAACAGGAATTTCCTTAAGTACTTTCGTATAATATTACATCTTCAGAAGGAATAATTTACAAGCCTAATACTGGACTTATATAGGCAGGTGAGAGAGGTGAGGTGCAATGAAAAATGAATGGGAATTAGGTGGATACAAATAAGAGCCGCATAAGAAATGCAAAAGGCCTATAGGCCCATACGAGGCAGCTCCTATTTATACCCACCAATAGGCCGACACATGGATAATAATTGCATAAGATAGTAAATATTTACAATGAATTAGTGAGACAATTGTGTCTCAATGATCCTATTCAAGTCGCCCTTTAATTGATCTATCAAAAATGAATCTAAGTTATATAAACCACTGATAATGTTGAAGTTACATTCTTTTGTAATCTGTATTAAAACAGATTCAATTATGTTCCTGTTATAGGTGAGCTTACAATTTATTCCTGAAGAAGCCATCTCCCAATCAATTTGGTGAGCATTTCCTGACAAATGAACACACAAAGCATTAAACAATTGGCCATGTCTTACTAAGTTTTTATGTCGGGAAATTCTAAATTTCAAAATTTTGGATGTTTGTCCAACATAGAACCTATTACAGTCTTTACAAGGTATTTTATAAAGGACACAATTATCACTACGAGGGCTGTTTCCAACTAATAGTTTTCCAACAGTATTTTCGTAGCAGAACAATACATGTATACGAAAAAGTTTCATTGCCTTGACCATATTTTCAAACCCAGGGAAATAATTTTTTCACTGCATAAATGATTATAATATGTACGACGTGCTTTGCTACGGCAAACTTCCAAAAAACTCAGTGGATAACAAAGCTTGAGACCAATAGAATCAATATTCTTAAACTCTTCAGCTTAGAATTCTGGACTCACAACCCGAGGAGCTCTTAGATACATTGAAGCAAAAATTAACTCATATTTATTGAAATAGATAGCCTTATAATTTCATAAGAACTAATATTGAAAAATATATAAATTAAGGAAAACTTAGCTTGTTAGGCAAATCGGGCCTTGCATAGCAGGCTGAGTACGACGTTCTGGCTACTAGGTACAACATATATATATATATATATATATATATATATATATATATATATATATATATATATATATATATATATATATATATATATATATATATATATATATATATATATATGTCGTACCTAGTAGCCAGAACGCACTTCAGAGCACTTCTCAGCCTACTATGCAAGGCCCGATTTGCCTAATAAGCCAAGTTTTCCTGAATTAATATATTTCCTCTAATTTTTTCTTATGAAATGATAGAGCTACCCATTTCATTAGGTATGAGGTCAATTTTTTTTATTGGAGTTAAAATTAACGTAGATATTTGACCGAACCTAACCAACCCTACCTAACCTAACCTAACTTATCTCTATAGGTTAGGTTAGGTTAGGTAGCTGAAAAAGTTAGGTTAGGTTAGGTTAGGTAGGTTAGGTAGTCGAAAAATAATTAATTCATGAAAACTTGGCTTATTAGGCAAATCGGGCCTTGCATAGTAGGATGAGAAGTGCGTTCTGGCTACTAGGTACGACATATATATATATATATATATATATATATATATATATATATATATATATATATATATATATATATATATATATATATATATATATATATATATTGTACCTAGTAGCCAGGACGTCGTACTCGGCCTGCTATGCAAGGCCGATTTGCCTAACAAGCTAAGTTTTCCTTAATTTATATATTTTTCATTAGTTCTTATATATATATATATATAATATATATATATATATATATATATATATATATATATATATATATATTATATATATAATATATATATATATATATATATATATATATATATATATATATATATATATATATATATATATATATATATATATATATATATATATATATATATATATATGTTGTACCTAGTAGCCAGAACGCAATGTTTGGCCTACTATGCAAGGCCCGATATGCCTAATAAGCCAAGTTTTCCAGAATTTCAATATTTTCCCTATTTTTTTTCTTATGAAATGATGAAGCTATTAATTTCGTTATATATGAGCTAATTTTTTTTTAAATTTGAGTTCAAACTAACGTAGTTATATGACCGAACCTAACCAACCCTACCTAACCTAACCTAACCTATCTTAACCTAACCTAAACTAACATAACTAAATAAATAATTTATGTTCTTAATATAATATAATTGTAGTATTTAAAATATACCAATAGGAAACAATTTATTGAAAATAAAGAAAATCACTCGGCCTATTAGGCAAATCGGGCCTTGCATAGTAGGCCGAGAAGTGAGTTGTAGCTACTAGGTACGACATATATATATATATATTTCACAAAGAAATCACAGAAGTGTAACATATGAATGAGTTAGTTTAGTTCATTTATTATGCACCCCATACCCATCTTGTGGGCGGTAGTGGAAAGGGTTACACACACACACACACACACACACACACACACACACACACACACACACACACACACACACACACACACACACACACACACACACACACGAAGCAAAGAGCCAGAGCACAATTTTCGCAAGCACAAATAGGTGAGGTGAGTACACACACACACGCACGCTATTATGTAACACACTGACTTAATAGAATTCTACGACTAGGTGACAAAGATTAAGCAAGAAAGAGAAGGTTGGGCAAACTGCATTTTTTTGGACTGTCGGAAAGCCTTTGATACAGTCCCCCCATAATAGGCTGGTACATAAGCTGGAGAGACAGGCAGTAGTAACTGGTAAGGTGCTCCAGTGGATAAGGAAATACCTAAGCAATAGGAAGCAAAGAGTTACAGTGAGGGGTGCGACCTCAGATTGGAGTGAAGTCACCAGTGGAGTCCCACAGGGCTCTGTACTCGGTCCTATTATGTTTTTGATATACGTAAATGATCTCCCAGAGGGTATAGACTCATTTCTCTCAATGTTTGCTGACGATGCCAAAATTATGAGAAGGATTAAGGCAGAGGAAGACTGCTTGAGGCTTCAAGAAGACCTAGACAAACTAAAGGAATGGTCGAACAAATGGTTGTTAGAGTTTATCCCAAGCAAATGTAAAGTAGTGAAGATAAGTGTAGGGAGCAGGAGGCCAGTTACAAGGTATCATTTGGGAGATGAAATTCTACACGAGTCAGAGAGAGAGAAAGACCTGGGGGTTGATATCACGCCAGACCTGTCCCCTGAAGCCCATATCAAGAGGATAACATCAGCAGCATATGCCAGGTTGGCTAAGATAAGAACGACATTTAGAGACTTGTGCAAGGAATCATTCAGAACTTTTTATACCACCTATTTCAGACCAATCCTGGAGTACACAGCCCCAGCATGGAGTCCATATCTAGTCAAGCATAAGATCAAACTGGAAAAAGTTCAAAGGTTTGCCACCAGACTAGTACGCAAACTGAGAGGTATGAGCTACGAGGAAAGACTACGGGAATTAAACCTCACGTCGCAAGAAGACAGAAGAGTTAGAGGGGATATGATTAGCATGTACAAGATTCTCAGAGGAATTGACCGGTTAGATAAAGACGGGCTATTTAACACAAGAAGCACACGCACTAGGGGACACAGGTGCAAACTGAATGCCCAAATGAGCCACAGAGATATTAGAAAGATTTTTTTTTAGTGTCAGAGTAGTTGACAAATGGAATGCATTAGACACTGATGTGGTGGAGGCTGACTCCATACACAGTTTCATGTGTAGATATGATAGAGCCCAATAGGCTCAGGAACCTGTACACCAGTTGATTGATAGTTGAGAGGCGGGACCAAAGAGCCAGAGCTCAACCCCCGGAAGCACATATAGGTGAGTACATCTCCAGGATGCAGCCCGCAGCAGCTGTTTAATTCCCAGGTACCTCTTCACTTATAAGTAAACAGTGATTTCCAGTGAAAGAAACGTTTTCAATTTGCTTTTGCCTCGCCAGGGAATTGAACCTTCGCTCTTAGTACAATGAATGAGCGATGTCAGCTCTGTCCTGTGTCTGAGGACTCACCAATCTGTGCTTGCGAGTGTTGAGTTTCAGCTATTTTTTCCCGCCTCAACACTTAATTCACTAATGTTGGTCACGGAGCACTGTCATATCAACTTTGGAATCTCTCTTGTGTGTGTACTAAAAATGATGGTTTAAATAGACCACAATATTACTGTAATAAAAATGTTAGGTACGGGAAACTTCTTCAAGCCATATTAATTTGATTAAGGGATAAGGAAGTTCATCTTATATACTGATATATATATTTAGTATTTTTCAATTTAGATATTAACTGCAGTCATAAGAACCATGGCAGATTAGATAGCCGGAAATTAGCCGTAATATCTATTTCCTCCAAATCCCCCACGTCCTCCTCCGAAGCCACCACTGAAACCTCTGCCACCGCCGAAACCTCTACCACCGCCGAAGCCTCTACTACCTAGGTAACCGGGATCGGCTTCAGGGTCTGCAACGGGCTCAGGGTTGGCTTCGGCACTCCTCCTTCCACGATATCCTCCATATCCTCCCCCGAAGCCACTTCCATGGGAGCCCCCACCGATGCCTCCTCGAAATCCTCCGAAACCTCCCCTGAAGTGACCGGGTTCGGCATCTGGGGAAGGCTCAGCGTTTGTGGCCACCAAGCACATGGCAGCCAGGAATGCTACAACGATCTGGTGAATGAACACAAGGATGAAATTCTCTGGAGTTTTCATATGATAATATAACAGAAGATTTATCATACATAGGAATATTTACTTATGTTTTTTTTAGAATTTGGTTTGGACTTTATAAAGTGAATAGTATAAAATTCTTATCAAATAGCAGATTACGTCAATCTTTGTACTATGGTGCACCTAGTTGCAAAAACTTCTTTCTAAACAGGAGGATGGGTTGAAATATCAAGATGTGTGGGTTCACGCATTGACAACAAATTTGTGGTATAGTACTGTGAAATGTTTGAATTAGGAAAACAACATTTTAAGCAATGTTGAGGATATAATTCTTGAAATCTAAGATATCATTCAACTTAATCTGCAAACAGGAAACAAGGTAATTTTTCAGAACTTGAGGTTTTGAACTCTATTCCATTTGAACACTTATCTCAAGCAGCAGGGAGCTATAACAGATAGTTAATTCACTTGTATAGGCAAATATTTAGAAAGTTTAAAAAAAATTGAACATGCGGAATAATTTTTAGTACATAATGTATGAAAATACTCTAAAGAGAAAGTGTTCGAAATTATTTATAAAATATACAACTTTTATAAATAATGTTTCCTTCTATGAATTAGCTAAGAAACAAAGAATATACTCTCAACTTGCGTACTATCAGTTAAATAAAGTACGAGTTGTAGTTTAAATGTTGAGTCAAATGTAACTCACCAGGGTCTTCATATCTATGGTGTGTCTTGGAGTACTGTGTGGAGTTGGAGGCAGCGCGGCCTTATATACCTCTCGCGAGACAGAGATTAGACGACTTCTCAAGGACATGAATGACTTGTTGCTCTCTTCTTGCGTAAGTTTCCTGGTGTTTATGTTATATTAAAACATAGGACAAATATTGCATCGATATTAATCTGTTTACCAATTCAAATAAAAAAGTACGGAAGAATAAAGTTATGTTATATATTAAAACGTGTAACCAACTAGTATATATGAAAGTCACGGATCAGGTAATCAGTCATAAGCTTATTGATCAATCACATGTGTGATGTTAACTCATAATTGTATTGGTCAATCAAAAGTTTGTGATCAATCGTTGTTGTGTCAGTCAATAATAGGTGTGTCATCAATCGCAGGCGTGCTTGATCGATTACACTCGTCCCATCAACCACAAGAGTGTCAATCACCCAATGAAACAATTGAAACTAATTCAGGGATTGTACAGTTTTCATATTCACCCCATTTACTATACCGACAAGATGGAGTATGTCGCCATCCCAAACATTAATCTAATTGTCAATATATTTGTTTAGATATAATTATCCTGATATTTTACCTATTGACTGTTGAATTTACGTCTCATTCGTTTTTAATTCCTCCGTCGTTTTATACATGGCTACGATCTACTTATTTATGTCACTGATGTTTACAGTTATATTTTGAATCATTATGTCAGCATTAGGAATATTTATTAAACACACATTTACTGTGTTCATAAATATTCAAGCCTAACACTGAATTCCTTTGTTTGGCTGGTAATTCAGTATTGTCAATATGAAATAAATATACTGCATACATATTCTTTAGAATCAGTCAGACGTGAGTGTAAAAATTGATCATACCATTAAACATTATTAACTTGTATGAGTATGAATTCTCTCCTGCATTGTCGTTCTTATAAACTAAGATATATATATATATATATATATATATATATATATATATATATATATATATATATATATATATATATATATATATATATATATATATATATATATATATATATATATATATATATGGTATGTGGTATGTGTGTGTGTAAATCACGAAAATTAACACCTCATGAAAGATGTGACAATGTCAGACCACGGAGGAAGAATTGAAACAGGAATTTCCTTAAGTACTTTCGTATAATATTACATCTTCAGAAGGAATAATTTACAAGCCTAATACTGGACTTATATAGGCAGGTGAGAGAGGTGAGGTGCAATGAAAAATGAATGGGAATTAGGTGGATACAAATAAGAGCCGCATAAGAAATGCAAAAGGCCTATAGGCCCATACGAGGCAGCTCCTATTTATACCCACCAATAGGCCGACACATGGATAATAATTGCATAAGATTGTAAATATTTACAATGAATTAGTGAGACAAATGTGTCTCAATGATCCTATTCAAGTCGCCCTTTAACTGATCTATCAAAAATGAATCTAAGTTATATAAACCACTGATAATGTTGAAGTTACATTCTTTTGTAATCTGTATTAAAACAGATTCAGTTATGTTCCTGTTATAGGTGAGCTTACAATTTATTCCTGAAGAAGCCATCTCCCAATCAATTTGGTGAGCATTTACTGACAAATGAACACACAAAGCATTAAACAATTGGCCATGTCTTACTAAGTTTTTATGTCGGGAAATTCTAAATTTCAAAATTTTGGATGTTTGTCCAACATAGAACCTATTACAGTCTTTACAAGGTATTTTATAAAGGACACAATTATCACTACGAGGGCTGTTTCCAACTAATAGTTTTCCAACAGTATTTTCGTAGCAGAACAATACATGTATACGAAAAAGTTTCATTGCCTTGACCATATTTTCAAACCCAGGGAAATAATTTTTTCACTGCATAAATGATTATAATATGTACGACGTGCTTTGCTACGGCAAACTTCCAAAAAACTCAGTGGATAACAAAGCTTGAGACCAATAGAATCAATATTCTTAAACTCTTCAGCTTAGAATTCTGGACTCACAACCCGAGGAGCTCTTAGATACAGTGAAGCAAAAATTAACTCATATTTATTGAAATAGATAGCCTTAAAATTTCATAAGAACTAATATTGAAAAATATATAAATTAAGGAAAACTTAGCTTGTTAGGCAAATCGGGCCTTGCATAGCAGGCCGAGTACGACGTTCTGGCTACTAGGTACAACATATATATATATATATATATATATATATATATATATATATATATATATATATATATATATATATATATATATATATATATATATATATGTTGTACCTAGTAGCCAGAACGCAATGTTTGGCCTACTATGCAAGGCCCGATATGCCTAATAAGCCAAGTTTTCCAGAATTTCAATATTTTCCCTATTTTTTTTCTTATGAAATGATGAAGCTATTAATTTCGTTATATATGAGCTATTTTTTTTAAATTTGAGTTCAAACTAACGTAGTTATATGACCGAACCTAACCAACCCTACCTAACCTAACCTAACCTATCTTAACCTAACCTAAACTAACATAACTAAATAAATAATTTATGTTCTTAATAGAATATAATTGTAGTATTTAAAATATACCAATAGGAAACAATTTATTGAAAATAAAGAAAATCACTCGGCCTATTAGGCAAATCGGGCCTTGCATAGTAGGCCGAGAAGTGAGTTGTAGCTACTAGGGACGACATATATATATATATTTCACAAAGAAATCACAGAAGTGTAACATATGAATGAGTTAGTTTAGTTCATTTATTATGCACCCCATACCCATCTTGTGGGCGGTAGTGGAAAGGGTTACACACACACACACACACACACACACACACACACACACACACACACACACACACACACACACACACACACACACACACACACACACACACACACACACACACACACACACACGAAGAAAAGAGCCAGAGCACAATTTTCGCAAGCACAAATAGATGAGGTGAGTACACACACACACACACACGCACGCTATTATGTAACACACTGGCTTAATAGAATTCTACGACTAGGTGACAAAGATTAAGCAAGAAAGAGAAGGCTGGGCAGACTGCATTTTTTTGGACTGTCGGAAAGCCTTTGATACAGTCCCCCCATAAGAGGCTGGTACATAAGCTGGAGAGACAGGCAGTAGTAACTGGTAAGGTGCTCCAGTGGATAAGGAAATACCTAAGCAATAAGAAGCAAAGAGTTACAGTGAGGGGTGCGACCTCAGATTGGCGTGAAGTCACCAGTGGAGTCCCACAGGGCTCTGTACTCGGTCCTATCCTGTTTTTGACATACGTAAATGATCTCCAAGAGGGTATAGACTCATTTCTCTCAATGTTTGCTGACGATGCCAAAATTATGAGAAGGATTAAGACAGAGGAGGACTGCTTGAGGCTTCAAGAAGACCTAGACAAACTAAAGGAATGGTCGAACAAATGGTTGTTAGAGTTTATCCCTAGCAAATGTAAAGTAATGAAGATAAGTGTAGGGAGAAGGAGGCCAGTTACAAGGTATCATTTGGGAGATGAAATTCTACACGAGTCAGAGAGAGAGAAAGACCTGGGGGTTGATATCACGCCAGACCTGTCCCCTGAAGCCCATATCAAGAGGATAACATCAGCAGCATATGCCAGGTTGGCTAAGATAAGAACGACATTTAGAGACTTGAGCAAGGAATCATTCAGAACTTTTTATACCACCTATTTCAGACCAATCCTGGAGTACACAGCCCCAGCATGGAGTCCATATCTAGTCAAGCATAAGATCAAACTGGAAAAAGTTCAAAGGTTTGCCACCAAACTAGTACGCAAACTGAGAGGTATGAGCTACGAGGAGAGACTAAGGGAATTAAACCTTACGTCGCAAGAAGACAGAAGAGTTAGAGGGGATATGATTAGCATGTACAAGATTCTCAGAGGAATTGACCGGTTAGATAAAGACGGGCTATTTAACACAAGAGGCACACGCACTAGGGGACACAGGTGCAAACTGAATGCCCAAATGAGCCACAGAGATATTAGAAAGATTTTTTTTAGTGTCAGAGTAGTTGACAAATGGAATGCATTAGACACTGATGTGGTGGAGGCTCACTCCATACAAAGTTTCATGTGTAGATATGATAGAGCCCAATAGGCTCAGGAACCTGTACACCAGTTGATTGATAGTTGAGAGGCGGGACCAAAGAGCCAGAGCTCAACCCCCGGAAGCACATATAGGTGAGTACATCTCCAGGATGCAGCCCGCAGCAGCTGTTTAATTCCCAGGTACCTCTTCACTTATAAGTAAACAGTGATTTCCAGTGAAAGAAACAGTTTCAATTTGCTTTTGCCTCGCCAGGGAATTGAACCTTCGCTCTTAGTACAATGAATGAGCGATGTCAGCTCTGTCCTGTGTCTGCGGACTCACCAATCTGTGCTTGCGAGTGTTGAGTTTCAGCTATTTTTTCCCGGCTCAACACTTAATTCACTAATGTTGGTCACGGAGCACTGTCATATCAACTTTGGAATCTCTCTTGTGTGTGTACTAAAAATGATGGTTTAAATAGACCACAATATTACTGTAATAAAAATGTTAGGTACGGGAAATTTCTTCAAGCCATATTAATTTGATTAAGGGATAAGGAAGTTCATCTTATATACTGATATATATATTTAGTATTTTTCAATTTAGATATTAACTGCAGTCATAAGAACCATGGCAGATTAGATAGCCGGAAATTAGCCGTAATATCTATTTCCTCCAAATCCCCCACGTCCTCCTCCGAAGCTACCACTGAAACCTCTGCCACCGCCGAAACCTCTACCACCGCCGAAGCCTCTACTACCTAGGTAACCGGGATCGGCTTCAGGGTCTGCAACGGGCTCAGGGTTGGCTTCGGCACTCCTCCTTCCACGATATCCTCCATATCCTCCCCCGAAGCCACTTCCATGGGAGCCCCCACCGATGCCTCCTCGAAATCCTCCGAAACCTCCCCTGAAGTGACCGGGTTCGGCATCTGGGGAAGGCTCAGCGTTTGTGGCCACCAAGCACATGGCAGCCAGGAATGCTACAACGATCTGGTGAATGAACACAAGGATGAAATTCTCTGGAGTTTTCATATGATAATATAACAGAAGATTTATCATACATAGGAATATTTACTTATGTTTTTTTTTAGATTTTGGTTTGGACTTTATAAAGTGAATAGTATAAAATTCTTATCAAATAGCAGATTACGTCAATCTTTGTACTATGGTGCACCTAGTTGCAAAAACTTCTTTCTAAACAGGAGGATGGGTTGAAATATCAAGATGTGTGGGTTCACGCATTGACAACAAATTTGTGGTATAGTACTGTGAAATGTTTGAATTAGGAAAACAACATTTTAAGCAATGTTGAGGATATAATTCTTGAAATCTAAGATATCATTCAACTTAATCTGCAAACAGGAAACAAGGTAATTTTTCAGAACTTGAGGTTTTGAACTCTATTCCATTTGAACACTTATCTCAAGCAGCAGGGAGCTATAACAGATAGTTAATTCACTTGTATAGGCAAATATTTAGAAAGTTTAAAAAAAATTGAACATGCGGAATAATTTTTAGTACATAATGTATGAAAATACTCTAAAGAGAAAGTGTTCGAAATTATTTATAAAATATACAACTTTTATAAATAATGTTTCCTTCTATGAATTAGCTAAGAAACAAAGAATATACTCTCAACTTGCGTACTATCAGTTAAATAAAGTACGAGTTGTAGTTTAAATGTTGAGTCAAATGTAACTCACCAGGGTCTTCATATCTATGGTGTGTCTTGGAGTACTGTGTGGAGTTGGAGGCAGCGCGGCCTTATATACCTCTCGCGAGACAGAGATTAGACGACTTCTCAAGGACATGAATGACTTGTTGCTCTCTTCTTGCGTAAGTTTCCTGGTGTTTATGTTATAATAAAACATAGGACAAATATTGCATCGATATTAATCTGTTTACCAATTCAAATAAAAAAGTACGGAAGAATAAAGTTATGTTATATATTAAAACGTGTAACCAACTAGTATATATGAAAGTCACGGATCAAGTAATCAGTCATAAGCTTATTGATCAATCACATGTGTGATGTTAACTCATAATTGTATTGGTCAATCAAAAGTTTGTGATGAATCGTTGTTGTGTCAGTCAATAATAGGTGTGTCATCAATCGCAGGCGTGCTTGATCGATTACACTCGTCCCATCAACCACAAGAGTGTCAATCACCCAATGAAACAATTGAAACTAATTCAGGGATTGTACAGTTTTCATATTCACCCCATTTACTATACCGACAAGATGGAGTATGTCGCCATCCCAAACATTAATCTAATTGTCAATATATTTGTTTAGATATAATTATCCTGATATTTTACCTATTGACTGTTGAATTTACGTCTCATTCGTTTTTAATTCCCCCGTCGTTTTATACATGGCTACGATCTACTTATTTATGTCACTGATGTTTACAGTTATATTTTGAATCATTATGTCAGCATTAGAAATATTTATTAAACACACATTTACTGTGTTCATAAATATTCAAGCCTAACACTGAATTACTTTGTTTGGCTGGTAAGTCAGTATTGTCAATATGAAATAAATATACTGCATACATATTCTTTAGAATCAGTCAGACGTGAGTGTAAAAATTGATCATACCATTAAACATTATTAACTTGTATGAGTATGAATTCTCTCCTGCATTGTCGTTCTTATAAACTAAGATATATATATATATATATATATATATATATATATATATATATATATATATATATATATATATATATATATATATATATATATATATATATATATATATATATATATATATATATATATATATATAACTGAAAACTCACACCCCAGAAGTGACTCGAACCCATACTCCCAGGTGCAACGCAACTGGTATGTACAAGACGCCTTAATCCACTTGACCATCACGGCCTTGTCCTGGGGACCATTCAGGCTTGTTCGCATATATATATATATATATATATATATATATATATATATATATATATATATATATATTTATATATATATATATATATATATATATATATATATATATATATATATATATATATATATATATGTGTGTATTCACATATATCTGGTATGTGTGTGTGTGTAAATCACGAAAATTAACACCTCATGAAAGATGTGACAATGTCAGACCCCGGAGGAAGAATTGAAACAGGAATTTCCTTAACTACTTTCGTTTATTATTTCATCTTCAGAAGGAATAATTTACAAGCCTAGTACTGGACATATATAGGCAGGTGAGGGAGGTGAGGTGAGGTGCAATGAAAAATGAATGGTAATTTGGTGGATACAAATAAGAGCCGCATAAGAAATGCAAAAGGCCTATAGGCCCATACGAAGCAGCTCCTATTTATACCTACCAATAGGCCCACACATGGATAATAATTGCATAAGATAGTAAATATTTACAATGAATTAGTGAGACAAATGTGTATCAATGATCCTATTCAAGTCGCCCTTTAATTGATCTATCAAAAATGAATCTAAGTAAATAAACCACTGATAATTTCCTTAAGTACTTTCGTACTTCCGTCGTATCACATATAGATATCACATAGGTTTCGGAACCTCTATACCTGTCGGTTAAAGACTGATAGGCAGGGCTGAATAATTCAAGCTCAACGCCCCTACAAGCACAGTTACTTGAGTACAATTAGGTAAGTACACATACAGGTCCTTGTGGTCAAGAGGACAGCGCTCTGGGGTCGTATTCCTAACGGCCTTGTATCCATCCCCGGCAGAGGCAGAAACAAATGGGATGAGTTTCTTTCACCTGGTGAATTTATTCACCTAGCAGTAAATGGAGATCTGGGAGTTAGACAGCTGCTACGGGCTGTAGACAGGATCAAGGAAAAATAGGTTGGAAGACAGCACATTACGCAACTGACGGTGAGAAAGGCGGGATCTAAGAGCTGACACCTCAATCCTGCAGGAACCAATTGTATAATACGCACACAAAATAGTATACACAAACAAATGACGCAAAAGTAACGAAGCCGGTTACAATGACCAGGAGGAAGGGCCTACCCCGGCAAAACAGTGCTGTGGGGCACAGGCAAGTGCTATTAGGTCACAGCCGGATAGATACCGGGTATATTCTCGCGGCGGGACAGAAACATTTGAACAACGTTTAATTTCACCTGATGCCTTTACTTACCCTAAAGTAAATTAGTACCCGAGAGTTTAACAACTGTTGATTTATGTCCTCCAGACTATGGGAAACCACGAGGTGAAATAACATAACACATTCTGGACGGCTGAGTTTCCAAAAGGGCAATTGAATGAATGCATCGTAGCGAATATCAGTGAAGGTTGCTAGCGGACCTCGGAGCTCATCAGTCACTCCATTCAACGATAATTGTGAAGTTTGTTTCCGTTTGCACCAAATTCTGGTCCCAGATGTGGACCTGGAGCCCAGGGGTGCCAAGGCCAACCTTTAGGGCATCTCACCCGTGTGTGGCAGGACCTGAGGCAATTTTTATTTTATCCCCCATGACCATGGGGAGAGAGCATTTCAGGGCCGTGTCTATTACCGGTGTAGCGTTGAAAGCGACCTACCTCACGCATGTGAGTGTGCGCTACTGAGATGACTCACAGGCTCTAGTCTTGCATGATAACTTCTCAGTTCCCCCTGACCGTGGCCAGGCAGGACCCCGCCCCTCCCGCCGGCACAACTCTGCTTTTGCAGCAGCCAACATAAATACATTTTATTCTGTCCTCCATGGACAGGGTTAGAGATCAGATCTACATGCGATGCAGTGGTTCTTGTGCACTCAACCACAGACTGTGATTTCAGGGTTTTTACAACTGCAAATTGCAATTCTAGCCAGTATGTATATATATATTTTGTCGTTTGTCCTACATGGACAGAGCTGTTACATTACATAGCGATTTCTAGAGAATTGAACCACAGAATAAAAACCTCTTACAAGCCAAAATTCGACATGAATCACATATATTACTTAATTCTTGCAATACCTAATGATTCTTGCGTGCAAGTCCAGTATATGTTCAAGTATTTCGGAAGTCAGACATTTACAGAGTTCAACATATCTCAACCCAAGGGATCGGAAGGTAGGGTAATTTACCAAGAGAAAGTACTCAACCGGAACACCCGTACAACACGTGGATGAATGTAACAACAAGGAGCTGGTGTAGGACGTAGGGACGAAACAGTGCCCAACCACTTGAACCATCGGGGACGTTAGTCAGTAGTCAGTACGGGGTATTCTGCAATATAATGGTCATGGGAATTCATGTATTCCCTTTCACAGAGTTGACACATGGCCCCATTCGACACTTGAGTTTTGTGAAGGCTGACTGATATGTCGGTATCACAGACTTACTCTAGTATCTAAAACATAGCATTGCCCACCTCCTGCTTTATTAGTTCTAATCATAAACGTCTCCTCAAGGTACTCATCACAATACTCACCACGATACTCATCAAAATGCTACACGAAGGACTACACTTTCTTAGGTCTTTCTGTATTTCTTAGACCATGTCTGTGGAAGAAAATAAACCGAAATAAAATATAAACCAATGTACTGTTGGTGACGTTGGTTATTTTTTGTTAATTTGACGCGAGAAAATTTCGGGTGGCTACTGCCTTGTGTTTCGGTCTCTGACACTTAAGGATAAACATTCACCCTGAGCGTCAAGCGACCACTTCGACCCCCTGATCAGCGACACCAGAACCATCAATCGTTCATAAACCAGAGAAGTAGAACGTCTTTGCTTAATGGATCAGGAGGCGCTTTCATATAGTTGAGACAACAGAACATCACACACGTGCTTCTTTCTGCACTTGACGATGTCGCAGATTTCCTCTTGTCTGACTTATAAAGATATACCAGTGATCGCGTGGCTGGCCATGCCCACGAGGTCTGTTCACCTCTCAATATGGGCGCGTCCCACACTACTTGTAGCAACTCCCTACCAAGGCTGCTGTGATAACAGTCATTTTGAGGAAAAGCTGTCATAGTGAAACCGCATCAGCTTGGGTTAGGGTCCCGCCATGGCTGCAGCTTGGGTTAGGGTCCCGCCAAATGTACTGAACTGCATCTTCAGTTAAGGACCTAATAAAGGCTGCAATTAACCCTATAGGAAACGTCCTCCTCAGGGCTTCTCTGACATCGATGCTATTGAAAGATAATCTCGGACAAAATGATAGTGAAAGATAAAGCTTCTGTCTCCATGACGACGACTTCTAACTCCGGCTTCCACCGCCTTGACGACGGCTACAACAGAGAAATTGTGAGGAAGACCGAGATACACAGGAAGGTATAATTTGGTCCAATCGTCTGCTAAACGTGTAATTTCTCACTGCAGACAACCTCGTTCAGGCCGGCGAGGCACTCGAGTGGAAAGAAACGTTGCTTCGTGACTCATAAAGAGTATTAAAGTTTTTTTGAATTGTAATGGTTTTCCGTGTTGAGCGGGTCGAGTTCATTTGACAGCACCTTGTTATATATATATATGTCGTACCTAGTAGCCAGAACGCACTTCTCAGCCTACTATGCAAGGCCCGAATTGCCTAATAAGCTAAGTTTTCATGAATTTATGTTTTTTCGACTACCTAACCTACCTAACCTAACCTAACCTAACTTTTTCGGCTACCTAACCTAACCAAACCTATAAAGATAGGTTAGGTTAGGTTAGGTAGGGTTGGTTAGGTTCGGTCATATATCTACGTTAATTTTAACTCCTATAAAAAAATTGACCTCATACATAATGAAATGGGTAACTTTATCATTTCGTAAGAAAAAAATTAGAGAAAATATATTTTGGTA